GGTTCGCTTTTCGGGAGTGGAATCTCATCATATTTATCCTGAAGTTCTTTTATAGCCTTGAGAGTTTCACGTAGCAAGTGCGATCCTTCGATCATAGACAGTGTGAGAGATTGTATGTCTTCTTTACTTGCTAATTCCAGAAGATTATCCATGGCGTCGAAAAAGATCTCCTCCTCTTCTTCGTTGGCATGGATTTCTTTAACAGGTTTGATGAGAAACGAGGGGTCAACCTCGTTTTCCTCATCATAGATAGCCAAGGAATGAACGAGAGGCGCGTTATCAATACTTGGCTTCTTACTGGCAGGGGGAAATGGCAGCTTATTGTTGTCGATTAAGTCTTAGATAGATTCTTTAAGCTTCCAACAGTTCTCTGTGAGATGGCCCCTACCTTGGTGATACTTGCAGTGTGCATTGCAGTTCCAGTTAGCCGTCCTCTTTTCGATTGGTGGGTCCCCAAATGGTCCAATAGGAGTTATAAGACCTTTTGCATTTAATCGTTCAAATGCAGTGTCATAACTCATGCCAATAGGAGTAAAGTTCCTCCTAAATGGCTTCTTTTTTCCTTGATGTTTCATAGCAAGGACTTCACTTAGGTTAAAAGTGCTAAAATTATTTGAGTGGGTGGTTTTGGAAGAAGAAGGATTGTCGTTCTTCTTGCCTTTCCAGCCACTGTTGGAGTTATTGTTGGCAACTTTCAACTTAGCCAGATCGTCTTCAATGTTGATTCCAATGTCGTAGACGGCCTTGAAAGTATGGAGATTATTTTGATACTTGAGATGCTTGGAGTATTTTTCTTGAAGGTTTTTGATGAATAACCTTACATACTCTTTTTCACTCGGCACCTTAATCATCTTAGCTGAGGTTTCTCTCCATTTGTTAAAGAAGGAGGTGAAGCCTTCGTTCTCCTTATGCTTGAGGATTTCAAGTTCCCTATGGTCGGTCTCAACTTGAATGTTTTATTTGTATCTATCAACGAAATCGTTTGCTATGGACTCCCAGGTGGACGTTCTTTCTTTCTCGAGAGAAAAGAACCATTGCTGGCAAACGGTCTCGAGAGATAGTGAGAACAGAGAGGGGAAAACCTTCTTATCGATACCCTTAATACTCATTATTGTCTCGAAGGCTCTTAAATGAAAATAAGGGTTATCGGTTGCTTTGAATTTCGGGATGTCGTTGTCATTGAACTTCTGCGGAAGAAGATCTTTTTCCACCGAGACCCCTTGTGAACTAATCCCTTGAAACTTGTAGTCGCTAGATATCTTAATTAGACTCTCTTGCATGAGGTCCATCTGTTGTTGTTTCACGGGATCATCGATCTTAAGGGTTAAGAGCTTTAGTGCTTCAGTCACGGTAACCAGTTGGTTCCTGAGCTCATTGACTTCTTCTTGCGTTGCCATTACTGTCCTAGCTTTCCTCTTACGAGCAATGGGTTTGTCGAAAAGTTGGACTTGTACGAAAAGGTTTTCTTTGATTAATCGCCTTTCCTTTCTTGACAACGCGCTGTAATTAAAACCATTTTGTTTTAATTACTTGACTCAAATCGACCTTGACTTTACGGTTTTAAAGAAGAAAAAATAAAAAAATAAAAAAAAAGGTGAATATTTTTTGGCAAAAATAATGTATATATTTTTAGGAACCAAGTATGGTATTTACATTGGAGGATTAATATCCGACTTACCCCCCTAAAAAAATGACGGAAAAAACGCGCATAAAAGACTCTCTTAGAGATGGTCAAAGTATGTGTATTGGTGTGTGCGTTTAGTGTAAGTGACATGCTTGGACTCTTGTGTAAGACCATGGAACTTGGTGCCTAGACTCAATTAATGACTTAACAAAGGTATTATTGACAATAATATTAAACCTAATTAATTAGCAAACTGGGTAATTAAACACAAATTGATGACTCGATCAATAACCTGAACTATCGTCAAAACGACAGGACTGGCGCCTCTCTTTGCAGTGTAGCGCCAGACAACAGAGCTGTCGCCAGGCGCCACACTCCACAGAGTGGCGCTACAGTTCAGACTTTGGCGCCATTGCTGGAGCTTCGATCTGAGACTGTTTTCGGTGTTATTAATCAACAGGGGTATGCCTAAAGTCGTACTAGGTCAATTTTGATTAAAATATTAGACTTTATTTACTCAAATTAATTAATTAATTAATTAATTAGGCAAAGTTCTTTTAGTCATTAATTTATTTAATCTTAGCACAAGTCAAACAAACGGTTAAGAAAACATATATCACATGCACAACAAATAATGCACAATTAGTCAAATAGGCACGATATGATGCAATGAGTTTGCAACCTAACCATGGCTCTAGTTCTCTAAAGTTCGGGATATGGGTTAGTCAATAGAGGGTCCATGGTTAATTGTCCGGAAGCACCGCGCGGAAGCCTAACTGTGAAGGGTTGGCGCGAGTGGATGGGACACCGCAAATTTTTAGAAAAAACTCGCTTCCATGGTTTGGTGAATTCAACAATCTCGGATGTACCCTTTGTTGCTCAGAGCGTTCAATCAGGTAGATGGAGCATGAATTCCCAAGGGGTTATGTCCATATGTAGAACACATATGGGTTTCAGAAAAGTGAGAAAAACTCAATCAGGAAGTAGGATCGAGCAAACAATGCTAAAAACTGGCCGAAATTAGAACGCATATTTCTGGCTCGGTATTGGAAGAATTTGGCGCCAGCAAACAGAGATTGACGCCAGCTTTTGGCTGTAGCGCCTGGTGACAGAGCTGTCGTCTGGCGCTACAATCCAAATTCCGGCGCTAATATTCTGTTCGCTGACGCTAATTCCTACATGCCTCAGCAGCTTTCTGTGCTCGATAAAATTTTCCAGTTTCGCGCAGTGTTATTTCGGTCCTAGTTGTGAAAGATATTCCTCAATTTTCCTACGTGTAAAATCCTATGTTTTAACTCATTACGGATGGTCTTTCCAATGAGATCTTTTTTATACATATGACAATAATGTTAATCAAAATTACGCACATGAAATACTTAGAACTTTTCGAGTCTCATCCACTCATTCTAAATCATTGCCAAAATAAATTTCAGGAATTAAAATAGAAATCCCCCCCCCCAGTGGAGTCACCAAAAACTGTAGGGAATATTTCAAGCATTACCCCTAGCTTGAACCCCACTGTGATCATACACTAAAGTACAGTGGCGTCCAAAGGGAAAGAAGATAGAGCAAAAGAGTCGCCAACAAGTTTTAGGACCTTGTAAATCGTTCACGAGGTGAAGGTTACACCCCGTAACGATCCAAGAAATCATTAACTCCATAAGGTCTTGAACCAAATAGGGTTCGGGGATGAAGGTACAAACCCAACCTAAAAGATATTGAACTTGCCCTAATAATAGGCCTCTACTTTATTCTGATCGTATTCATGTGCGCTTTCTGACTAACATGCAATCAATAGAATTAACCCTAAACCTGTTTATCTATGTTGGTTGAATATTAATGCACAAATAAAACTATTATTGGCGATCACTTGAATTATAATCATATTAACCCTAAACAAGATTATTAATTATCTTATTAAGCGTGATTACAAGTACAAATTCCCTTTAAACATGCATAAAAGGTGTGATCAAGCAATAACAATAAAATATATATCAAGCAACATAATAATAAATCATCATCATAACAAATATAATCATAATATTCATGTTAAAGCATAGTATTAATAGCAAGATCCTAGGCATGATACTAACAAGATTAATAACAAACCCTAGCATGTCACTAAACAATAAAAATCAAAGCTTTAACCCTAACATGATACTAACATGAATATTAGGAAAGACAATAAAAGGCATCATAGAAATCATAATTGATATTATATTCTTTACCCTAAACATGATACTAGGAATTAAAATAATAACCTAAGCATGATTTCTATATCATAATAACAATGTAAACAATTAAAGTACTTACTTGGATGCCTCGTACCTCTTTCTAATAACAAAATACACACGTTAGTAACTTCAAGGAAAATAATAAACAAATAATTAAATTAAATAATTGAAAGAGAGATTTGGGACCAAACCCTCATAAATTAAAACCTTTCACGTCTAGGGCAAAGGCAACTTCGAGTATGGCTAGGTGTTTCTAGATCTAATGAATGCAGAATTTTTATATTTGTGAGAAGGCTAGTTTAAAAAAGAGAGAGAGAGAGTAATCAAGAGAATCTTGATGAGAGTTTGTGAATGAAAACGGAGTTTTTAGAACGCTATTTATAAAGAAAATCAACCAAAAATATAAAATATCAAAACAGAGTTCTGACGCGTAAAACCAGAGTTAGCGCCAGACGCTGACATTAGCGCCAGGCGCCAAGCGTATGTAGCGTCAGGCGCTAATGCTGGCGTTTGGCGCTGACAAAGTTTTTGACGCGTTTTCTTAAAATCAGATAGAAATTGTCGTACAGGAGGATAAAATCGTATTTTCCTCAAAAACGTTCTTTTATTCTGATTAAAACTCTAATAGTCAACAAAAGTCAATTTATCAATGCTAATTGAATTAGGAATGAAAAGAACCTTCTAAAAGAATCTAGGAGACTAAAACCATTCCTAATTGCATTAGGAATGATAAATCCATATTAGGCCCTCCTCTAAATCATTGGGCCGCATATAAGGCTCAAACCGAGCCCAGTTGAGTAATTTGGCCATAACTTCCTCAATATTCATCGGAATTGGGCTTATAATATATCGTTGGAAAGCTCTTTTCAAGCCCTATCAACTACACTACTATTGGACCCATATCATGGACCAACCGAACTGGATTGGCTGTTTTCTTAAAATAGGTTTTCAAAAACAGAGAGAAGAGAAAAGAAATTAAAACTGTCCGCAACACTAAACTTTCCACACTTTCACTTCATTTGATTATGATCCGACGTGAAAGGCACTCATCACTGGGTTTGGTTTTGGGGAGACACAAATGGGTGTCTACAAGAGGATTGCACGGAGGACTCCGAGAGTTGCTGACCGCCGGTGGTGTGAACCGGAGCCGTCGGTGGTTTGGAGGATCCACCCTCCTTTGCCAAACGGTTCTTTATAGTTCGCTTGGCAAGCTTCAAACGTGATCGACAGCTTTCAAAAGTAGGAAGGGGCTCCTGATTTTGAAGGAAATCCACGGTTCTAGCGTATGCCTCGGGAAGTCCGGATATCATTTTCAGAATGAGGCGGGTGTCGGGAATTGGGGCATCAACATCGGCAAGAGATTTGATGTGATTGCAATACCCGTCAATTGAAGAGAAGTTCTCAAAGTCAAGATCGGCCAATTCTTGTTCAAGGTGTGAAGCACGAGAAGCTTTATTATCCTGGAACATAGACTCGAGACGAGTCCAAGCACCTTCAGCCGTGTCATCTTTGAGGAGAATAGCTATGAGAAGAGCAGGGGAAATGGAGTTGTATATCCAATTAAGCACTGCAGCATCCAAACGCTTCCAAAAAGCGAAGTCCGCAGCCTTAGAAGCTTCATATGCTGCTCGTTCATTTGCTTCCGTAGGATGTATGATGTGGTGGGAAAGGTCATGAAACCTAACAAGGACTTTGAAAAAGGCAGCCCAAGAGTGGTACATTCCATGGTCGGCATCTAAAGTGATCGGAATAAGGGATTTGACGTTTGTAATTGTCAAGGAAAGATGATATTTGGATTCGGCCATGGTTATGGTGCAGCGGAAGAAGATCAGGAAAAAAAAAGGAAGGAGAAGAAGAGGACTTAGGCGAGTTGTTAGGGAGAAGTGGAACTAGGATCGGAACCCTAAACTGATACCATGAAAGAGATTGATCGTTGAATATTTTCATTAGCTGTGCAAAGATTATACACACATTACAATAGCTATCTACGACTATGTTTACGCTAACAAACTAGGAAAGGATATACTCTAATTATACACTTAACTAATATAGAGATATATACAAGAATATACTAACATATATTCTAATAGACATTTACACATAAACCATTTGGGTCTGAGATTAATTTCCAACCTATTTTTGTTAATGTTAAGCAAAGCTCTACTCCAACATTAACGATTTCTTATACTCTAGTAGCTTTAGCTTTCAATTACTCTAATAATCCCCATTGGTATTGCGTTATGCTTCAATGGTACCATCACAATACCGAAAAATAAGGCATTTGGTACCAACAAAGCTTATTGCGTTGTGGGTAGTAATTAAAAGTATTTTGGTACTAAAATGATACCATTTAAGCACAATTTAATACCAACGAAAGTTGTTAGAATCCTTGAAAACTCAAGCTGTAAGTCTGTAAGAGGTAGTGAATTTCCCAACCTTCTTAGATTTGCTAATGTTATCCATGATATTTAAAGGATGCTACTTTTATCTTTGTTTTTGGATCCAAAGAAATTATGGTTATGGGAGTAACTTAGACACTTTCATTTGGGAGAAGGTAGAAGAGCACACACGACTACACGAGGGGAGAGCCTCGAGATTTGTATAGGCGTATGTCTTCCTGCTTTTGATAGGAAGCTCCCATTGTTGGATTCTTTGTTCTCTAACACCACTTTGAAGTCTTTTTAGAGGATAATAAAAGCTAAAATAAACTCCTAATGGGAGAAAGGTAGGAGAGCACGTACATGTGGGAGAGCCTCGTATATCTTCCTGCTTTAGAAAGCTCCCATCGTTGAATTCTTTGTTCTCTAACACCAATTTGAAGTCTTTTTTTTATAAGAGAAAAAACAAACTCCTAATGGGACATGGTAATTGGCTTACCCTGTTACCCACCCTCCCCTTGGTAAATCATAATTATCGTGTCAATTTTTAGCAATAATGTAAATGTTTGCGCCAACGAAACAAGGTAAATCATTTCCATGGAATTTCACAAGGAAAGTAACCCATAAGAAAAGGAAAAAAAAAAGTTTCAATAGGAATTTAATTCCTATGTGAATCAAACCAGTAAAGGCATGAAGATTAACTATTATGGCCTGCAAGAGGAGGCATAAAAGCTGTCTATAAAGCAGTGAAAATTTAAGGGGTTGGAATACACTTGCTGTTCTTATGAACGCAGACTTCCTCAAGTGACTACAAAATTGGTAATCAGCTGTTTCAATTATATTGCTGATCATACAACGATCATGATGACACATTAATTGATCATGGAGATATTCAAATCACTAATACGCAATTCTACCACGAAATCTAGAAGGAACTTTGGCGTATGTATTTAATTGAAACAATCATATATCAACTCAATAAGAACCATTATTCTTGGTCATCCATGTATTGAAGCATCAGTATTGCCAATATCATACCGATTTGTTAGCCATGTCAAGGGAAAACATCATGCAAAGCTATATCTTATTCCAGCTCCAGCCGCTTCTTCATGGCCTCATAAACCAGATAAGTAATACTTGCAGACGGAATCACTTTTAAAAGGTTGGGAAACAATCCTTTGTAAAATCCTCTTAATCTTTCCTTCTGAAAAGTGGTCCAAAAAACCTCAGACATCCCAGCTTTTGACTGGCTAGCTTGCATTCTGTGAACAGGAATCATATTAGGATTTATTAGAACTTCTATTTGGATCCGAAAGACTGGTAACTAGGCATCAAATGAAATCATATAAAGGGCAACATGTCATTGTTACAAAATTTAGAAGTAAAACAAAATGAACATCCATAAATTAAGATGATAATCATCCTAGGGAAAAAAAAAAAGGATCAAGGGGGTGAGGTGTGGCAGCAAAATCCTCCTCGCCACTTCCTTTTTATTCCCCAACCATTCTAATAGCATTACAAGATTTATAACATTATAATGTATATCCAAACCAGGAGATAATACATTCTAATAACATTATAACATGTGTTTCCAAACTAACAAATAATAACCATTTCATATATTGAAAAGGTTTGGGCGTTCGGCAATAGAAATCAGTTACTTACCTTGTCCTGACAACTTGCAATGGATAGACACAAGTTGCTCCCACAGCACCTGATATAGTTCCACAACCCAATTGCACAAGAGGTCCAGGTTCTACAGAGATTATAAAAGGTTCAATTTGAAGTATGAACTAACAAAATAAGTAAATACTTTAAGCAACTAACTATTCTACGAGATAAAACACCACAGATTTAGATTTAACAGTTTACCACTATCTTTGAGAATGTGTATTTTAGCCAAATCCTTCAGTGTTTCATAAGCAGCAAGATCAATGCCAGCATAAGGAACAATTCCCAGGAGAGAAGGGACAAGGCCCTTGTAGAAAGCTCGTAACCCTTCTTTCACCCATATATCTTTTGCTAATGTACCTATTCTAGGAACTTTTCCATCCAGACATTCAAATGTCTGCAACCGCGTCTTTACAAGATCAATTGGATAAATTGTGGTCTGTGCAACAGCGCCGGCTAGACCACCAGCAACAAGGCGGCCCATACCACCAATATCGGCCTTTTCTCCTCCTCTAGCATCCATAATGACTCCTTTAAGCAATTCATATGTGTAAAATCTGATAGCGCTTTCAGGTGCCACTTTCACAACATTTAATCCATTACCTCGAAAAAATGCAGGAATTTTCCCTTCTTTCCATATTTTCCTTACTTCTGGCATAATACGAGCATCCTTTGTCTGAACTTGTAAAACTACTTTCAAACGATCCAGAGGAGCAGTAGCGGTACGGGACGCAGCACCTGCAATACCTCCTGCAATTAAATATCTGCCAGCATGAACATGCTTGCTGACTCCTTCTGGTATAACAGTTTGTTCGCCAATATCAACAAGGCAGACTCTTTCCCAGTAATGATAGATATTTGCTATTGTTACTTCATGAGGATAAAGTAGAAGGAAGTCTCGCCATTCTTCAAAGGTTATAACACCATCATTATCCTTATCCACACGTTCAACAAACAGAGCAAGTTCCTCATCATTGATCTCGATCCCTACATAAGAAAGACTGCTGTGGCTTATAGGATGAACAGCAAGCAAACACAATTTAAAATGCAAGGAATAAAATGAACAAACAATAAACCAAAGAAGCAGCAAACACCATAAACATAAAAGGAAGTTAAATCTAGGAGCTTCAAAATGGTAACTCTATCAGCTTATACTAGGTGTACAGAAATGACATTACACGAGGAATCCTCTTCAAGATGATATGTACTCTATGACTACTCTTATGACTCAAACTATCACAAGTAGGTTGAATATTCTCCCATGCTATACTATCTTTAATTTACAGATATTGGATTATACTTCCAATAAATAAGTGATTATCTTAGGTCAACTCAATGCAAAAAGATGGGAAAAGCTTATAAAACAGCACAAACTCCTGGCAGAAAATGCACTTCACTGTAATTGTAATTCAATACCTGTTTACAGCTAAGATTTTAAAGAGGAACAAAAAAACATAAGCAGATGATGAGAATAACATACCACTCTGACCTGAAGGTTAAAAGAAAGCTAGAAAATGAGCAGTGAAAAGCTGTCCCCCACTCTTACTCCATGTACTTAATTTAAAAACACAAAATCACGAGTACATGGGATTTCCAGTCAAACCGTAATCAAAAGTTTTGTTAATTTGAATGGATATAATGATTTATACTCCATATGTAAATTTCAATGAAAACACCAGATGCCATATGAGATCTCTACATCTATCAGTTTCTCACATAATATGGCAACCCATACTTCTTCCCGCAAAAACTCGGAATTTGCTTTAGTGCAAAGTCTGCAGATCTCAAGCACCCTAACACCAAGTTTGGATAGAGAAAAATGGAAGGAAAGGAAGAGAAGAGAAAAGGAGGGTATTATCATCCCTTATTTGGATAACATATGGAAGGAAGAAAAGGGAGGATATTGCATTCCTTTTCCTTTTTCTTTAATAAACCAAATCCTTCCAATATTGAAAAGAAAATAGAAGCTCACACTCTCCCTCCCCTTTGATTCCTTACCCTTCTTTATACTTCCATCCCCTGGCTTTCCTTTCATAATTGCTATCCAAACATAGAGCAATAGAAACAGCGGGGAGGGGGGGGAGGGGGGGGGGGGAGAGAGATAAATCATAAACCAAGCTGTGCCATGACCAAGGCAACGGCTACCAGTACTGGCTAGTATTGTGATCAGCTACACATGTATTCTCAAAAAGTAAGCTATAAATAGAAGAGGTAATAGTGACTCATCGTCATACTAATGAGCTAAATCTATGGTATACTTTTTTTTTTTTAAAGGAAACCAAATGAACCAATCCAGTCCAAGTTGCATGCTTTGCAATAGCAGCACCAATCCAAAATAGCATTGATCCCATACAAAACCGGAGGTACATTTGATTTCTACATCTCCCCCAAAAAATAAAAAAAATAAACAAACAAAATAAAATAAAAGATTTCTCTGCAAATAATGGTATCATCTTAGCAACCAGCACTATTCTCATGTAGCAGATTCCTCAAGATCTTTGAATGCAAGTGAAACCAGTTGAACCAAATTACGCTGCAAGAAATGGTTCTACATTATTGCTCCCTTTCCATAAAGGCATACTCACGGGCTGGTGCAAATTGAATATTTTAAGATATGTTGCCTTAAGTAATCTTCTTAGTGTTGGTCATTAGACACCGCAACATTTACATGAGATCTAAATCCAACAATTTAATTCACGGTTGAACACCATCATTAACCACTTATTGATGGATAAATAATATAAATAAAGGGAAAAGAGGAGAAACAGAAAGATTTTAACAAACAAACAAGTTAGCCTATGTACCGGAAAATAAGGATGTTTGTTTACCTACATGCCCCTATTTATATGATGTGATTGCATCTAAGCTTTTCCTTGAGTGATTGAATTATTCAACTCTTGTGAATAGTGTTTGGACAATTATACCTTCTAAAATGTTAATTTATTTATTTGCTCTCATTAATGTTAATTACCTCTTTCTATTTAGAATACTAAAGAATAGTGTGCGGACATTAATACCCCTGAAAATATTTGTTTGCAGATTTTTCCATCATTAATGAGACCAACAACTTAAAGGGCTTTCTAAACATGGCTAGCTATGGCACAGATGCGCGCGTTAGCCACCCTAGTCTTTTAAAAAGTTTGAAATAACTCTTTTGAATAGTGTCTAGACATTTTAAAAAGTTTGAAATAACTCTTTTGAATAGTCTAGACATTGTACCCTCTAAAATGTTTATTTACTTATTTGACCTCATTAATGTTAATTGTTTTTTTTTTAAATTATTACAATTAATGTGCGGACATTTAAACCGTTAAAAATATTTGTTTACATATTTCCCTCAATACTACTTTTTAAAACTAAAGTTGTGACATAAGCTAAATCGAAAAAGCTCCTCAAACATGACTAGCTATGGCGCACGCTTCGCGTACTCGAAATTATGGTAACTTGATCTATAGTAGATATGGACACATGGTAATATGGACACATGGTAGGTAATATGGACACATGGTAATATGGACATTGGACAATGGATAATGGACAATGGTAGAGTTGGCATTGGTTTTGTAACAAGAGATGAACAGAGGATCTGTGAAGTTATCACAGGCATATACCTACCTGCGTGACTAAGAAGCATGGTTATCTGTTAAGATAGCAGCAAGAGTGCTAGAGCAGCGAAGAAAATGACATTGGAAAATGGGTAGAAGAACATTGTGGTGATGTGCACGTAATTGTGCAAGACAATTATGCAGGGAGATAACAAGAGGAGTGGTTCTCTCTAGCTCATTGTCGAAGACTCTTTAGGTCATTTGCAGAATTGCAGTCCTTTGATTAAGTTTCGTTGCCCTATTATTTCCATGAATGATATTGCACTGCTCACTGTCATGTAACGTACATTGTTACCTAATTCACCACCTCACTACTCCCCCCCCCCCACAATTAAAATAAAAAAATAAAAAAATAAAAAAAAATAAAAAAACCAATGAAGGCGAATTATACTAGCGATTTGATAATTTTAGGCCTAATTTAACAAATAAGGTATCAAATCCCAATTCCATACCAGATCTCATACTAGGAGCTCAATCATAGCGTTCTTTATTTCTTTTCGTAACATTCAAAGTAACTACTTCAGCTTTATCCTTTTAAATTTCATATGATTCTTTTTTCTTTCTCATCAAACATGAGGCATCTGTTTTGAGGTTAAATTGGAAATGTAATTATGTGAGTAATTGTTGGAGACAAACATATACAGCATATATACAAATATGAATACTTATATCATGTGCACAATTTTTTAGAGACACAGGCACATGGAATTTCAGATGCTATCAGCCTATCATATGTACCCCTATCTAAAACTCGTAACATAAACGACTCTTCCCGTCCACAATACAAGTCACTTATGACTTTTCAAAAAACCCAAGGACTACCCTTACTCTCTTCAGTTATCAAATAATGTAAGCTACTCAGTTAAGTAAAGTGCATAAGTTGCTGTGCCTTAATGAAGGAAATTAGTAGCATACCCACTATGCCAGATCAGGTTATTAATGCTCATGTACACTTAACTGCTATCGGATAAAATAGTGTACGCTTCAACTTTCAGCAGTTCAACACCAGATATAATTATTGAAGCATGATACTAACCATGGACATCTTGCATTTTTTACAGAGATCTCTCAAGAGTTCAAAATGAATCAACCACACTAAAAAAAAATTCTAAAAACAAGTTGAACCTACAAACAATAACTCTGCAAATCGGCAATAAATTTTAAAGTAATATTTCTCATTACTATTTTTAAGTTAACCATTATCAAACACTTCAGAAATCTAATTCTATGCGTGGAAACTCCATGAAGCTAATTCAAATAGTACATAAACCACCCTACACACAAAAACTATGAAGGTGATCCATAAATGATTAATCTTCGTCACAAGAACTCCCCAACTAAGAAATGAATTTCTTAAAAATCAATGTCGTAAATTTTTAAGTAATCCATTACATTTGAGAAGTTGTAAGTATGGAACAATTCCATGAAGCTATTTAATAGTCAGTTTATTAGATTGTTGAATTTATCAATTGATGATAGACTTGATATTGACAAGGAATAAAAAAATTCATTTAAAAAAGAATATGCTACACTTTTCAAGAGTTGGCTAAAATAAGAGAATTTCTTCCATCGCAGTTACATCAAATATACAAAACTCAAACCTAACACATCAACTTTCAGCCCAGACCTCATGCATAACCTTGTACCAACATTATAACAATCACTAATTAAAATACCAACTAACAGGAAAAACCTATGAAATACATACATACTAATTAATAGCAAAAATGACAAATAGCCAAGCCAAACGGAATCGTAAGGCCAATATACTATACATTAAAACGGAGAAAACATAATGTATACCAAGATGATGCCAGATAAGTGAAACATAAGAATCGTAACAAGTTTACAAATAGTCTTTTGATTGTCTTCTGTTTGAAGCACAATGCCCATTTCGAATTATGCACAATAATATCACCAATCATACATGATAAAAGCACCACAAATTAAACATATACAATGAGATAAACATGTTAGTTTACCTGCTTTGAGAAGTGCATCATAGAGCTCTTCCGGCAAGATACACCCATTATGTTCCACATCAATAGTCTGAAAAATCCGATACAATTCGAGCTCTTTATCATCCATATACCTCCGAAACTCATCATAATCAACCCGCCCATCTTTATTTGCATCACAAACATGCAAAAGATCCCTAGCATACTTATAATCCGACGGAATCTGCAGCGCAGACAACCCAGTCTCAATCTGAACATTATCCAAAAACCCGGAACTCGATTTATCAAAAAAACTGAACAAACTACGAATCCTGAGCTCCCTTTCATCCTTAGTTTCTTGAAGAGCCAACAATACATGATCCATCGAAACCGGCCCCGGTTTCTTCACAGGATTACAACCCTCGCATCTCTTCACATCGTTATCTTTCTTAATCTTCCCTTCCATATTCAGAGAAATTCCCTTATTTCGTTTTTCTTGTTGATCACAAATTAATAATACTGTAACACATCTAACACAACAAAACAAAAACCCAATTTATTTATAGCAATAAAACCCGTCAAACAATTTCCCAGTTCAATGTCACTCCAAATTCAAACTTCCCAAAGAATAAGGATCAAAAAAACCTAATTCCTCCAAAATTTGACTCTTTCAATTTAAAGGGTCAAATGGAGTTAACTTTATTGAATAATAATAATAATGACAACAAACACCTACCAATTTTCGTAATCATCAAAAATCATGACCTAAATTTAACCGCTCAATCAAATTCAAAACAACAACAATCCGAAATCGATTCTAACAGTAAACCGACTCGAATTCCAGTTAGAAATCGTCTAAATTCCGACTTTTGAAACCCTTACCAAAACACGAAAATAGACAATAAATTGAACGACCCAAGTCGAAATCCAATGTTTGGAAAAAAGGAAAATGAAGGGGTGAATTGAAGGTGAGGAGAAATGGCGGGAGGGAGGTGGGATCTCGACGAGGTCGCCGGAAACAATGGAGGAGGTCAGGTCATAGACGGCGGAGGAAGGGAGGAATTGACGGTGAAGAGAGAGAAAGGAGCATTGAAGAGGAGAGAGAAAAAAAGGGAGAATGTGGAAATTGTGATGCTGATTGATCGGAGACAGTGTAAGGTGTATGTATGACGCACAAAGATGGGGAGAAACAAGGAAACATATGCTTTCAGATTTTTTAATTTCAATTATTTATTTATTAAAAGTATTGTTGAGTGTATATAGGCACATGCCGCACATAACATTTACGTGGGACTTTACTAAGCATGTATGTAGGAGGACGTTTTGAAGTTTTATTTACCGTGGTACATTTTATGTTTAGTGGTACATTTATGAGAGTGAGGGATAGATCAAGTGGTTAAAACTTCTCTCCCGATTTTAGGAGATTGTGGGATCGATTCTCACCCCGTCCTTGTGACACTCTAAACACCAAAAAAAAGTGGTACATTTTTGTGTACTATAATCCATGTACTCCGTATAATGTACCATTAATTATAAATTGCTTTAAATTCATACCCACTTCATACCCGCCCTAAAATCGTCCGAAACGCATTGCCATGATGCTATATTGTATCACATTAATGACAATTATATCAAATTAGATTAAGAAAATTGGGACTTTCATTATTCAAGTTTATTGGTTCTTAGAGGGTATCAAGTTTCATAAACTCTAAACTATTCTTAAAAAATATGGTGCGGGTATAAGATAGGTACGAGGCGGAGCGGATATGGAGCGGGTCTACTCTAAAAACCATACCCGCCCCATCACCCATAGCGGGTACACATTTAATACTCATCCCCGCCCCATCACCCGCCAAACCTCCCTTCATCCCCGCCCCATTTGGACGGAGATGGGGCGGGTCTCACATTTAACCCGACCTACTACCATCCCTATGTGCCTATTGTTATTCATTATAGTTGTCGTTTCACAACAAAAAAAAAAAAAAAAAAAAAAAAAAAAAAAAAAAAACTTGGCTTTTTAAATTTTTACATTAATATTTTTGGTTGCTTGAGAAAAAGGAAAAGGGATGGAGGAAAATAAGATTGTGGAATGTATGAGATGTTGCTGGGGTGGCATATTCTGATATTCTCGATCTTAATGATGTTATCCTGTAGCTTCAAGTTGAGGGATCAAGAGTATTGCTTCTAGTTATTGGAAAAAATATATATATATAAAAAAAAGGTATTGTTTTTTATTTTTCTAGAGTTAAAGTTTTGTTTCACTTCACTAGATAATGTGATAATTAAATTCGAATCCAACCCAATCATAAGAAAAAAAAATGATTTGAATATGTTAAAGATATGAGATATCGGGATTTTTTATTGTCTCTTTCAAAAATCCGATCACAAATATATTTTCCGATATCTCATATCTCTAACAGAATCCGTTTAAAAATAATTCGAATCTGAATAGAAGGCAGATCAGATTTAGACCCCTGCGCAAAGTCCGATCAAATTCGATCCGAGTCTGAGTATGAGGATATGCTTTATAACTTGCATTGGGACAATTGCTTGCTCGTTCGTAGCAAATTTTTGTTAACTAAATTGATAATTAAAATATGTTATGTTTAGATTTTATATCCTACGTTTTTTTCTAGTTTTTTACGCACCAATATGATATTAAAAAAACCTAATACACACATATATATATATATACACACACACACATGGGAATAAACGCGTCGTCAATTGTATATCCCTGGATCAAATACAATTTATACAACCTAAACAAACCTAATACGAGTATAAGGCAAGCATAGGGGGTCGAACCACAGAGAACGGATAAACACCACCAAATGTTATCGACAATTAAGCTAGTCCGGAATAGGAGATAAATAAACTAAAGTCTAAACATGCTAAAACAAGAAATAAAACATTAAGGGAAATGGTTTAGGTATAGCATTCACTTGAACATAAACAAAGGCATAGGAATTGAATTAATTATGAACTAAACATGCATGAATATCGAAGTAAAAGATCCAATCTAGCCGCCTTCCGGGGTCAATTGGCTTCACCTAACATAGCCTCTATGTTTCCACATTAGAACCATATACTAGGAGGTACTATTAAATAACAATCGATAGTAATGAACCTTAACTAAGTCAACTTCCGTTTCTTGTTACCAAAGATTCACCTTTAATCAACCAACAATATGCACTTGCAAGAAGATCAAAGAATATCAAGCATATAAAGACTTTAATCACAAATAAATCAATTCTAAACCCTAGAACATGCTCAAGATCCAACTACACCACAACCATCCCCTTAATGGGGAAATTACTCACTAATCATGCTAATAACAAGATTAATTAACAAATAATCAAGAATAAACATGATTAACAAGCAATACCAACAAATAAAATATAATCAAAATAAAGTAAATAAAAATAGAGGAGAGAGAGTTAGAGATTCTCATTGATTGAATGTGAAAATCTACAAGCAATATAGTCAATCTTCCTTTTCAATATCCAAGCTCAACAATGGTGAAACCCTTACTTTCTCTCTCTAAACTATCCTAATCCTACCCTAAACCTATAGAGAGAAGCTCTCCTAAAACTAATTAGAGAGTAGAATAGATAGTTCTTGAATAATAATCCCCTAATTACCCCAAAAATGGGTATATATACTAAGCTAGGAAAAATAGAAAAATAAAAGAAAAGAAAATAAAATAATTAAAAAGGAAAAGTAAAATAAGAACTAAATACAAAAATAAAAGAAAGAAATAAGAAAAAGGGAAAAGAAAAGAAAGAAATTAAAAATAAAAGAAAAAGAAAATAACCCCCCCCCCCAAAAAAAAAAAAAAAATCCCACCAAAACAATCAGACTCTTTTTTCAAGCTTTCTTCTTCGAGGTTGGCTGCTCAAAAATGGGGGAATGATCCCATGTTTTGCATCTCACCAAATCAAACTAACAACCATCATCATCAAATCACTACCGCTCATCATCATTGAAAATCGGCATCAAGCAAACACCACCGTTCGATCCTCATTAAAAGCCATGTGCATAGCTCGTGAAATGGTTCGGTCAAACCATGGGTAGGTTCGACCGAACTACGGGGTTGTTCGGTCGAACCATGGGTATGTTCGACCACACCTATTCAATTTAGACAACTTCAAAAGTTTCTGACTGTTTTGGCACTTCGACCGAACTCCTATGCGGTTTGCCCAAACCCGATTAATTTGCGATTGCTCTGATTTTTGCCGTTGCTTATGCGAATTGGTGGTTTCATGACTGATTGTTGCAGGTGGACGGTGGTTGGTGAAGGTTGTAGGTGGAGCTGGTGGTTGTTGCGGGGGTGATTGGTGGTGTGGTGCATGCTGCTATTAATTGCGGGTTGGGTGGTGTTGTGAGGGATGTTTCGGGGTGTTGGTGGTTCAGGTGGTTTGGTGGCTGCGTGGTGGTTGATTGCGCTGAGAGCTGGAGTGGGTTTTGGTGGACGGTGGTGTTGGTGTTGTTGTTGTGGGTTGCGCGGTGTTGTGAGGGTGAGTGAGCAGGGGAAAGGCTGGGTTGTTGTTGCGGCCGCGCGTGAAGGTGGTGGTGCGGCTGCTGTGAGTTGCGGTGGTGTTGGTGCGCTGCTGCAATTGGTGGAGGAAAATAGGAGGGTGCGGTTGTGGTGGCTAGTGAGTGGTGATTTTGGTGGTAGGTTGCTGCCACGGGAGTTGGTTGTAGGTGGATGAAATTGAGTGGCTGATGGTGGTTGTTTTGGTTGGTGAAAGGAGGCAGCAGTGGTGGTCGTTGGTGGAGGATGGTAGGAGGTGGCTGCGGTGGTGTTGGCGGCTTATGCAGTTGGCAATTAACTTTTGACATGAATTCGGAAATCGAACTCACTTGACTTAAAACCCGAACACCTACACACAAAACCGAGAAAAGGGACAAAGAATAAAATAAATAAAACTAAGTAATAAAATAAAACTTAAAAAAACTAAGATAGGAAATGAGATAATTAAAACTAAAACTAACAAAATTAAATAAAACACAAACAAATAAAAAATATGAAAAACACTCCAAACTAATTAAAATAAATAAAAGTAAAATAGAAATAAGAGAAATAAAACTAAAATTAAAAAAACATAAAACTATACAAGTAAATAAAATAGACTTAAAACTAATTAAAACTATGAAAGTAACAAAGGAAAGGAACGAAATAAAATAAATCGAAAGCAAATAAAATACGAAAATAAACTAGAACCTGATTAAATAAAGAAATTAAATTAAAACATACTAAAACTAAGAAATAAACTAGAAACTTTATTAAAAAAGAAAATAAGAGAATAAAAGGGAAAATAAACACGAAAATGACTCTAAAACTACTCCCTAAGAGTAACATAAATGTCACTCATCAACACACACTACCTCCGCTTCATATTACTCGCAACATATTACATTTTTTACTGCTTCACATTACTCGCAACAAGTATTTTTCTTTCCTATTTTAGTAAGTTTTTGCTAGTGAATTGACACTTTTACCCTTACTTTTTTTAAAACATTAGTAATCCTAATCTAATATTGTGTACAATAACAACTCTTAATTAATTAAATCATTCCCACCAATTTTAACACATTCTTTTTAAATTTACCCCACTTCCCAACCACCTTCATTGAATCAGCATTCGATTTAAGTTGAAGGTGGTTGAAGGCAGGGGCGGAATCAGGGGGGCTGGGTAGGCCATGGCCCCTCGTATGATTTAGTTAAAAATTAATTAAGTATAAATCAATAGCTTACACATTGTGGCTCAGTTGGTTTACCTGTAGAAATTGAAGGGATTGATTCCATGAGACCAGAGTTCGATTCTTATAACACCCTTTTTTTTTTTTTTTTTTTTTTAAGACTAAACTTCTTATCAGCTAGTGAGCTAAGTGGGCTTGCTTCATATTGGCATCCTGATACCACAGTAGTATACCCCCTTAAAAAACAAAGTCCCCTTAGCATGTATAGTAGTATACTCGTGTTATACAATTTTATTTTATTTTTATAATGTTTTTAAAATATAAGTTAGTACTGTATTTTTTAAAAATGTAGCAGTAATTATGATGAGATATTTTTCATAAGGTTAATTATATCTTAGTATTTAAAAAATTTATAAGTTGTGCAATGCGATATTAAAAATTATTTCTAGATAATATATATAACTACTTTGTATATTTGATCTTGGCCCCCTTAATGTAATATTTCTGGTTACGCCACTGGTTGAAGGCATTGAATTGGGGTTCTTGAATTCTCCA